ATCTCCTCACCTCATCTAGAGGTCGTTTTCTTTACTGGAGGCCTCATCCAGTCGCCCACCAAGGCCTCCTCAGTTTGTATTCCCTTTTTATTCCTTCATGCAGCATCCCACTGTCCTTCAGCCAATCGCGTTATCCCAGAACTTTGTAGAATGTCCACCCCTCCGGCCTTACCCCGTCGCTGCCGTACCCCTAACCGTGGAGGTCGAAAACGCGACTGAGAGCTCGAGATCGAAGCACCGAAGGCCCCGCCTTTGTCGAACGCTCTGTTGGTGTGCCGGCGAAATGTCGTACGTTTATCGTAGGTGGCAATTCGTCGCAGGTCGAGTTGTTGGTGCCCTTGGCCGAGGTGAGGACGCATCCAAGGCCGGTATTTCGACCGTACCTTCACAGCGACTGGTAAGGCAGTCAAGAGTGTCGTTGAAAATGTGTTTTTATAAGCGATTGTTAGAACAAGATGATTGGACCATACTTCATGGCGAGCGGGGTAATAAGGAGAGACATTCTAACTTATTGCGAGCTAGCCTAACTGCGCCTACAGGGCTGATCCCTTCAACAGCCCAGTTTCAAGCTTAACATTTTGGAACCAAGAGGCACTGTACTTTCCGGCATATTCGGCTATTTAGCTATGGCACATGACCGGTGCTTTGTATACTTTTAGGATGACTCTTTTGACGTTTGTTTGTTTTATATTTTAAAGTCCTAAGCTAAAGCTCTAGGTCCACTATCGGTACAAGACTGGTGGAGCCGGTGGGGATCTCTGCGTACAGGCCAAACTCATTCCAACCGCGGGAACCTCAACAAAAGTAGATGAAGTTAACAACATAACTTAAATCAAAACTAAAATCAAAGCGTAAATAAAACAAAAAAACTGAAATAAACTGAAAAAAAATTAAAAATTAGAAGAATTTCATATGTGGTCCAGATCCCGCGCTTCTCACCCGTTTCCTTCCCTGTCACATCTTCCAAGTGACTTTTCCTAATCTCCGCTGAGAGCAAAAGATGAGTTCTCAGGTAACCTTTGCTATCGGCTGGTTTCCTGCTTTTTGTTGTGAAAGTTGTTATAGACTTCACCAAGGACTGCCGAGTCCTCAAACTTCTTCTTCGGTTTCTAGAATTCCGAAACCCGATCCCTCCACCATGGAGACGTCCTTCGTAGAGGCGTTCCTCGCCTCTTCGTCTTTTTTGTATGCAGCTTTGACACGGGCAAAGTCTGCATATCTTTCTTGCTCGACTCTGCGAATTGCTGCGAGCTGTTCCTTGGTCACCGGTCCATCTTTTCTGGGTCTGGCTTGGCAGTGCCGAGAGTCCGATCGGTGAGGTCCCCCACAATTGCGACATCGTGTGAGGGCCTTGCACTCCACTTCCGAGTGCATCTTTGAGCCGCAGTTCCAGCAAGCTGGAGCACGGGAGCATCCGCGGCTGGCGTGATAGCCAAGACAACGTTTGCACTGTTCGAGTTGGGGACGAGGTCGGAAGAGCTTCGCAGCTCCAGAATCGTCGAAGAGGCGGAATCCAGGTCGGGGCGTGGACTCGCGAGGAAAGAGGGCTTGCCAGTTCTCGTATGGCGCCCCAGGCTTGCAGTACCCGTGTGTACGGACAAGAAACGGAACCGATTTCGTCACTCGCGTGACTTCGTCAGCAACCATCTTTGCCGTGATCTCGATGGGACCTGCAAGTGTGTTTATTCTCACCGGTACGGTGGCAATTTGCAAGGCAACCAGATTTGACGCTGGTTCCAGTTTGATTCCAGATTCGCTCCGTGACATGGAGGAATCTAGTAGCTCTTTCCGAGCGAGTTCGTTCTTTGCTGTCAGTGCAAAGCCTGTTTTGACCCGCTGAACCAACGTGATGACGTCGGCAGCGGTACCAAGCACCTGTGACACAGCTAACCTTACGCCAGCTGGTGACAGGAGTCGGTGGGGTTGGTTAACTTTGAGGCGTAGAAAAAGTCTCGCGTCGACTTTTGTCCTCGGATTGGCACTTTTTGCTTTTGGGGCGGGCGGTGCTGTCTTTGTAGTCGACGGCCCGGCGCTGCGGCCTAGACCTGCACGGGCTACTGTGGCCCAAGTCGTCTTTGGTGCCGGAGCCTGGGTTGTCGAAGGGTTAGATATCCTAATTTTATGAGCCCTCGGCGGAGGAAGGTTGCTGGGGCGCGCAGGGAGAGCTGGTGGAGTGCTCCCTGGGCCTGATTGTATGAACTGGCCAATGGCCGCTCGAAGGTAGACTTTGATGCCGTCTACAAACTCTTTTTCGTCGCCAATCGAGAGAGGCGAAAGTGCTGCTTCAACACTGCTTATTGCAGTGGAACAGATTGATAAACGTGCCTTGATTTGCGTTGTGGGACGCTTCTCAGCCTCCATCACTGATTGCAGCTCCGGTGGATATTCCGGTGCTGATATCGGAGCTGCGCCTTTTGAGGCTGGCACAGCATTTTTTCCGGCAGGCAATTCTGCACGTTCGGTCGTCTTTTCTCTGACGACCTCCTTTCCTTTCCTGGAACTGCTTGCCTCGGGGGCCAGCTCGGCGGGTTTCGTGGTCTGTTGACCATTTATTTCTGTTCTGATCGGGTCAGAATCAGTCATCTCTTGATCGGGAAGGTTTGGAGACTTCCCAGGGATAAAGGCCTCACTCGCAAATAGGCTTGATAATTTTTGCGCGAGGCCAGGTGTTTTTGCAGGAGCCCTCGGGCGGACTCTCGCGTTGTCCAACATTGAGTTGGGGAGCTTTTTTCGAACAGGTGGCATGACGAAAATGCCAGTGACTCGATTACAATTTGTTGAAGGGATGCGACGAGCGCGAGAGGGAGGGAGAGGGGGAGAAGGGGAATATTCGAAAATTCGAATTTCAAAAAATTGTTTGTGTGTGTTTGTGTTTATTGTGCTACTTGAGTCTATGACTATCTAGCACATTGGGCTCCTCTCTGACCCAGGCCACACCTTGTACAGTGCTCCTATCCTCTTTTGTTACTTGAAAGATCATTGATATATTCCCCTTGATGAATAGCCATTCAGCTCAGTGTTTACCCGTGGAATTCAGCCACCTTTTCCACGGAACCTTCTACCCAAAAAAAACAAAAATGGTAGCAATGGAAACTGCGTGCGCGGGAAAAAGTCTCAAAAATCCTGCAGTCCCAGCCAGGCGAGGCCTAGACACCGGGACCACATGAGGTGCGCATATTCATCTATATCTCCCTTCTTTGTAACAGTCGAGGTCGACTTGATCCAATCCACCATCTCCGTATCGGGTGCTGGGTACGCTCCGGAAACTCATCGGATGGCTTTTCCTCCATAATCAAGGGTGGGTGACGAGTAGGGCTCCGACCCTACCATCTGATCTGATCGTGGTTAGCTTCATGATAGTGGTGATAGGGGAATGTGTTGAGAGATGAAGACGATACAGACCGCGAAAGCGATTGGGAATCCTCTTCGAAGTGAGGACTTTGTTACTCAATCTCGGCTCTGCAGACTCTACAGTGAGAGCTGGAGGTTCGTAGGCGACACCACTGACAGGTGTTGAGAATAGTCCCCCTCTCCCTTTATGTACAAGACAAGGTGGGAAGTTTTATTAGCTCTACGCCCTGGAAGCATCTGTTTCTTTGGTCTCTAACTTATTGACATTGTAATAACAAGTGCTGCACATTTTGTTTTCCTCTTCCACAAAAATTACAGGTGTTATTATTTGCCATCCCTATCATGTGCAGATGAACCCTTGTGTGAGCTATTCTAAGGCTTGCCTGGAGGAATGCAGATCTTGTCTCCCTTCTATGTCCCTGAAATCCAAGTAGTTTATTAGGAAAATTGGGGTGGTTAGTCTGAGCATGAACCCTGTAATACTTGCCGAATCCCTTAGCCTTACGACCTTCCTTCTAGGACAACATGAGCTGGAAAGCATTGAAGATGAACTGTGCATCCTTGACAAACCATTCTAATCCGGTGAGAAAATTGATTGCGACTTTGTTGAGTTCGAGGAATGGTAGCCTGGCTATCCGTGAAAATATGAATGGCATTGTCAGCAAAATATTTCTATCGACACTACACTGTAACTGCGCTTCCTGAAGGATAAATTGTAAATTTCAGACATAAATCAGAAAGCTGGGGGTGGTTTCGCCGAGAGGTTTGCTCCTATTTAAATGTACAGATAGGTATATAGCCACCTGCACGGGCCCATAAGGCACTAAATCAGGATCATAAAATCAAAAAAAAACTCTCTAATTGTTAGACAATGAGGGTCAAATGAAAAATGTAAAGTAAAGTTTTATGGATGAAATCTCTGCTCCTAAACTCCCCTCCAGCAGTGATGCTATATACCCATCTGAAACTATCTCGAGGAGAGATTATTTTCTCGTTTCCCAAAATTACATATGAAATATATTACATGTGTTGAAGATCAAAAGATCTCAAGTTGGAGCTTCGACTATCCTGAACATCCTGATCACCATATCCCTGGTGATATATCAAAGCTCGAGTAAGTTAATCCGAGATATGTCATCCCAATATCCAATGATTCTCATTACCTTATTCAGTAGGTTCTAAGCTATCAGATGTTTGACACTAATTGTTGGAATTTAGAATAACTGGGGCTATCAAGTTGGCCACATTGCTAATATACACGTAACTGCAAATTCTGTACTTAGTTTCACTTCGGTAGTTCATTGAATCAATGCGCTCTACAACTTCAATGACTGAGGGGTCATTATTTCCTTAATACTAATGTAGTTTTTAGACTCTAACGTCTCCCAACTCGCTTCTCTAGGTGATATCAAGCACAAGTCTGACAGCTTAAGATTCTCTACCCTACTCCCATTATAACACCAGCTACTTGATCTAGCATACTACGTAGCTAAGCATAACACTTATGCGGGAGTATACCATGCGGCAAAATATTTAAAAACCAATGAGCGGAAGGCCAGTCCAATATCAAGGCCTTATCCGAGGTCGTAGCTACCCTTCTGAAATTTTCCAAGGGATCAGCCAGATGGGCCCTGCGGACTTGTGTGTACTCAAAAAGAGGGTTTCCGCCATTTTAGCTCTCTTTTGAGCCATTCCGTTGGTGGCACCTCATGATAAATTGGAGCTTCGGCTAGAATACTAGAAAATACTTGACTGAGAGTTTCTGCTATAAATTGGCCTGGCCAAATTGTGTTGTCTATGGTAGCGGAGGATTCCGTGGCATCGTCGAGAATAGAGGCCCTCCATCCTCGTGTTAGACCCCATGTTAGCTCTGTAGATGCCGCAGTAAAATCTGGAGGCTCGTAGGCGATACTACAAGCAAGGATTTCGTCTTCGTCGCCCCTTCTGTCACTTCTTTCCCAAGATTGATGCGTGTGAAACATGATACTGTTTGACCAAAACGCAGTCACAAGCGCCGTAATAACAAAGGAAGTAGGCCGATGAGTACTTGAATTCAAAGTCATGGGTGCTTCGGTAAGTAACCCGAGAGGATTACTTTTGCTCACGGGTGGTAACTCGAAGAGATTACCAAGCCATTCCAAAGCTAAATGTGTCACGAAACTTGGATACCATCCTATGGCAGGCTAAGACAATTTTTGGATATCAATTTATCAATCGATAAAAGCCTCACTTCTGTTCTGTCTAGTCGCTCTCTAATCATACGCGCATCTGATAGCGTAAATATTCTCCAATACTCTAAAATTAGACATGCGCTAGGAATAGAAAATCTGCGCCTCTAAATTAAGACGCCTGACCGGGGCGAATAAGCCACACACAAAAGCCCGCCCCTCTTTTTGGAAAGAAACATTTACCCGACCAGCCTACTCGATGACTATTATTAGTACCCAGCACAATCTGCTGTGTGTGGAAGGGACCTACTTACATGTTGGTTTACTGGAGCTTCTTTAATCTAACTCAGCGTCATGTGGAGAGATGTGAAGAAGGGAATAGTTTCAGGCCAGGGGATCAATTGATGGGTTCAAACTTCGTATTTTCAATACGAGCTTGAGACTACAATCTGACGTTTGATCTCGTCGTGTTCAGAGGTATTGAGCATAGATTGAAGCTAAAAGTGCCACGCTCGGGTTGTTACATGGGTAGTGACCCCAGGATCCTCTTGGTTTCACGGTTAAGTATCCCCAACGCGCCTGGTGTGCTACTGTTTCATGATAAATGAGAATGGGCCGTTGAAGTTGCTCTTTCGGCTCCGAGATGAGATCGTACAAATTTTCAGCGGGTTGGCTTCCTCCAATCGACCGCGAATAGCATGAATTGAGCTCCAATCCAAATTCCCTCGGCCTGCAACTCAAATTGTTCAATGAAAGCAATGGATGAACGGCCCGCGGACTTGCAATGAGACTGCAGCTCCAAAAGCCCTCTAAAATCCATCATTTTGATAGGAAAAATATGACTTACCTGTTTACCAAGTTCTTCGTGACTATTTTGTGGATTTCAACCGCTCACTCTCCTAGAACACGGCTCGACCTCTGCAACTTCTGGCCATAAGAGCGTTCACATCATTGGCCATGATGTAAAATAAGACCTTGCGCGTTTGAAGTAATTTGAGTTACACGTATGTTGAGGTTCTTCATAAGATTGTGTCATTGTGCTGTGCTTTGCATCTTGTGAGGATTGCCTAATGATTAATGCTCAGATGTACGATTACAGCAGATCGTGGGGCTGGATTGTGCAGTAGTAAACCACTTGGTCCGTTCTCCCATAAACTTCCCGGCAAGCCTGAATACCTACCCCACATGAAGCAGGAGAAAGCTGGTGCGAACACAGCATAACTCACACGCCACTCTCTCTCACGGGGATGTTGTGACTGTCGGCTGATGAATGCACACTCGGACAACCACATGGTTGTTACGCCTCAACCTATGGGTGGTTGCGCACGGAAGAGGTTACTCGCCCTAAGGGTCAAACTCGAGTGGTATCTTCAAATGACATCTGAAAGTGAGAGTTCTAAACGTCAAGTTTGGTCTTCCTACTTCAAGTACATTTTCCCGTATAAGCTGCATGGGCCTCAAGGCGCCAAATAAGGACTTTGAAAAATTTATTTCATTGTGGCGGATCGAAGGGCTTCAAGAAGCTGATTTGATCTTTTGGCCGGGTGGTTGTGAACCCATTTTGTGTACAACGCTCGTCTTAATTCTGCAATCCGCATCCCGATTCTGACATACCTTCATGGTGCGTGTGTAGATTAGTTTATTTGATAAACTGCAGGAACTATTACGTACGGAGATGTGGGGTGATTCCTGAGAGGTTATAAATTTGCCGTACTTTACGCCTACAGATTTACATACACTGTTTAGAAATATTGATACCTTTTAGGTAAAAAAAGTGGACATCACTCCTTAAAGAAATGGCAAGGATACATTTCACAGATATATATAAAGCCTCGTTCATTGTGGTCTCATGAATAACTGGCTTCCAGGGGAACAGCTTCGATTTCTATTATTTCTAAAAAAGCGCCTATTATACAACAAAACTCTGGACCACTATATCAACTATTACAATTTAAACAGAAGTTGAACTAGGTTTATATACAAGGAATAAAGCGAATACTGACCTGATAGCTGTTAATAAAGAGTTTCGGCCCGTCGACTTGAGCTGATTGGAGTGCCCTAGAGGGTGAACACATGATATTCAAGTTTTCATCTGATTCAACTCAAATCTTAAGTTTTGGTTTTAGAGAGAGGAGTTTAAAGTCGTGAAAGACAAACTAATACTCTCCAATGCTACTTTTTCCTTTATTAAATGTATTGGTCTCAAGTCTGCCAAGCACCGCAGCTCCTAACAGCGAGAGTTTGGGCGACAGGATTCCATACATGTAGTTTTAGGATGGAGACTGTCTCAATGACTTCTAATAATCAAGCCCAAGCAACCAACGTGATACAGTAACCCTTCGTATGTCCTGTCGACATTGGCTCCCACCAGGGGACGCAAGCTAGGGACTGTCAGCCGCCTCAATCCTAGCAATGACTATTCGCGGCCTCGGGGTTCCTGCCGGGCTCATGACCACTAGGGAAGTGGCGTGCCGTTAGACGGATCTTGTGCTGAGGGTGGTGCAGTGCTATCTATTTCACTAAACTGCCAATGGGCGGTTGGAGTTTCAAGTTTCCAGGGGTGCGGCCCGTCTCTCGAACGCTAGACCGATTAAAAGATCTAACGATTGTTACTCTGCAGAATGATTGTGTGAGAGTGAGTCAACAGCTCAGGCTCTTCGTCTTTTGTTTCACCGTACTCACCCTGTCAGTAGATCGCAAACAATCCACTGATAGATGCAACTCTTTAATATCAACATACCAGTCGTCATGTTTGTTTTCCTTTTCCCACCGATCGGTTGAGCTTTACAACGTTACTTTATGCCCTCAGCTCTGTCAGACGCCTTGAAGCTTCGTGACAAACTCCATCACTCTATTAATTTCTACTAATTTTATTTCTGCTTATCCGGAAAGTTTACGTATTGCCGCAAACCCTTATCTTCTACGAGCGAAAATTCATCGCGTCCCGACTATTATTCAGCTAGACCTCACTTGCTCATTCATTTATATCTCTAGCCTGAGAGCTGCACGGGAGACGTTCAACTTAACCAAACACTGGTATAATTCCGACGATGAAGCACAGCGTACCGTGGGATAAGAATCCCTTTCCCAGAGATAGCAAGCATGGTGCCGGACGGTCAGTCTCAATATCCAGTCGAACCCCCAGCATTTTTTCTACCACCCCAGAACTATCAACGGCCATGATTAGTGCAGAAACTGAAGTATACACCTACAATACCGAAGACGAGCCTCGAAGAGCTTCATATTACTCGGGATCAATTTCTTCCAAAAAATTACCTGTTGGCGGAGATGCTACCAAAATGCACGGAGACAATCCTCTACACATTCCTTTGTGGAAAAATACAGAGCAAACCGAAGATAGTTCTACTAGTGAAAAAAAAGCATCTAAAAAGAACCGAAAATCCGGTCCGGAGTCTATGATATTTTCACAGTCCAACTTTCTATCAAAAGCTACTACGTCAATACTAACATCACTTAAGTCTCCACTCCGAAAAAAGTCCCATGATAGTATTCCTATTTCTTCCCCAATGCTCGACAAAAATGATCCTCACAACAATTTCTACGGCCCACGCAATCCCTCGATGCCTTCCAGTCCAGCGAGAACCCTCAAAGAACCAGCATTTCCAGTCACGTCGCGGAAGAATTCGAAAAATCTTGATCCCGCCGATGCGCTTCCACTACGAAGCTTTGAATCTTATTCTAATCCATCAAGCCCCCACACTCAGTTAGCCTTTGCGGAAAACTCCAATCAGCTTGGTCTTCCCCGTAGCGGAGACTTTGACGCGGTTAGTAGTGCTGGAAGTGCTGGCTCCACTGTATATTCACCCTACCTGCCCACCACGCACACCACACCCGTCACGCCAAGAATGATGAGCCGAAGTGAAATTAAGGCACAGAAGAAACTAGAAGCCAAAAAGCCCATCACGGATATGGTCCAGCGTGACGAAGATATGTGGTAATGCGGATGCTGAATGTATCAATGAGGCAGATGTAAAATTTGCGAAATCACTCTAAAATTTTAATACTTAAGACTCAATGATACTTAGATCATAGGGCCACTTTGAAGCCAAATTTGCGCGTCAATTTTGTATGGATGAATGATGAATAGTGCGAATTTCCCCGGGAGTGGAAGGTTGACTTTTAATCGTTCGTCAACTTGGGCTTCCTTATTAAATTACCTTAAAAAATTATTTCATATCTTTGGTGTTAATACTAACACACCTCTGGACTAACTATCTTTGCCGTAAATTGACCTAATGCGAGAAGCAGATATTTCAACTAATTGTGAATGGTTGTGAGAGTTACTCAATCAAGACGCTCCATATTACTTTCAACTTTTTCTTGGCGAATTTGCGCTGGATCAGATTGATAATCATGGGTTAGGACACCAGATTTAACCAAAATGATTCGATTTGACCGAAGCTAGCTGATTGATTGTTAATTTAACGTACCAGGCGCAACCCCTGCATCTAGTTTGATATGGCACGGGGAGCTGATATCGCGAGAGTCATTTTTACCTTGATGATATATTCAGTACGTGTTGGAAGTGGAGAAACTTTGTGTAAAAGGACTGGTCATGCTAGCTATTCGCACAAGTGAATCCAAAATGGAGTTTATATACTGTATAATGAAAGAACTATTTGAGCTACACGATTCAGGATCTGCTGAGCCTTACACAAGCCACTCCGAACTTGGCTACCAAATAATGTCACGTGGACAATCATTACAGATGGAATCGGACAACTCCGATTTCAACCACACAAGGTGGTCAGCCTATAACACTTTGTTCTGGAAGAATGGGTCCTCAATTTCGGCTGGTTCCCGACACGATCTTTCGCACAGTATTGGGGCTGCGATATAAAATGTGTTAGCATTTTACGCTAACTATCGATACATAAACAGCTGCATGGTGTGGGCACGAGTCGGTTATGCTGTGGCTTAGATCTGAACTTTTTTATATTTTCAATCTATCTTATGTGTATGCAGCTCCAGACCTACGATGGATGTTGACCAGGATTTACTTCTGTTTAGTTTTCATATCCTTGAATCTACGATTATGTATTCTGATGAATTTGTTAGGTGTTGGTGACTGGTGTTAGGTATTGGAGTCGGTGTCAAGTGTCATGATTCCTATTATGACTCTCCAGAAAAGTGTGAAAGCATGCCAAAGCAGTGATAGGGGGTCTAGCTTTCACAGTAACATAATTGTCCAGGAATAGAGAGGGCTGATGTAATGATTGATATTAGTGTCGAGCTAGTCCGAGGAGCCTTTAACAGAGGGTGGAAGCAGAGCAGGGGAGAATCTGGTGTCAAAACATAGAGATAAGACCTAGTTTGAGGAGACACGCACAAGAATTTCTTTTCCATTGACAACAAATGGTCAATGCCCTAGACAGGTGTGGGACGCCTCTTTAGACTTCAGGGGTAATCATATTCTAGGTTTTATATGCAATTGCCACTTTGAGATGTGCTTGCTTACAAAAAAAGCCGGTCCCCCATCATTGGATTAGATTTTATCATTATCCTATCCGAATCTGTGACTGCAGAGGACTCCTTGAATCTACATGAAAGAAACAAAATATATCTGATTTATTTAGCTATGGTAACTTTGAATTATTTTCTCATAGACAGTGAGGAACAAGTCCCTTCCTCGTCCATAAGTACCCACTAAAGGGAATCTCAAAATCTTTGATTATTCAAGCATGCCTTCGTCATCTATGCATACTAGCGCCGCGATGAATGTGGTTGTGTTTTGCCGGATTCTAACCAGCGGTTTCCTGCCTCGATTGGGATACATAGCCTAGCTATCCAGACCTTACTTGAGAATCTGGCCCAGATGATATACCACCGCACCATCCAACCATGGCGGTATCAACTATGTCACCAGCACTCTCGCAATTTAGAGCCTGACGTGCACAATGTTCTTCAACATGTAATACTCCTTGCCAACCTGAGAAGGGTCCGAAGCAGTCCAGCGATGCAAATATGACGTGGGCACATGGGGCTCAACTCATATTTATACAGAAGAAAAGTATCCGGAGTCTACAGTCCATATGTTTACCAAGCGCAGAACCCCAAGCACATAATTATGACCTGCCCTCGATAGTCAAATGAAAGAGGAGAGATTTGGAGACAAGCGAAAGATCGATCCTACGAAGCAATGCTATACAATACCGGACATATCAAAAAGATAACACAGCGGAGCTTAAATCATAGTTGCATAGAGCAATCCCTTATGACAAAGGCAGTCGAAATGCTGATGAGGGAAACTAACACGACAAGTCATTATTGAGGTCGATAGAGATAGTGTGATTGGTTTATATTGAGGGTACGACAGTGTAACTGCGTTTCCTGAAGGATACATTAGAATACATAGACAATAAACAAGAAGGTTTGGGGGTTTTCACCAGAACGTTTCCTCCCATGTATGTTAGAAAGTGTGATAGACACCTGCACGGGCCCATAGGGCACCAAATCAGGATAATGAAATCAACATCAAACACTCCTTGCCTATATTCAAATTTCACACCCGTCGCCATAATATCCATCCTCTGAACCATCTTGCAAAGTTGTCTCGCCTGATCTCACGGTCATCCGAATGAGCTGTCTCTCAGATTTGTGCGCCAAGTTTTGTTTCCTTCGGCGGGTATAATTACTGGCGTGGGCGTATATTTGGTAGCAATCAGAGGCCAAAGAAAGTCGACTAGAGATGTGGTTATTGGAATGAAGGTGTAAATGGTCGTACTCGCAGACCTACTGAGGCCTATGCAGCGATTGATCTCATGGGGAGTGATAGATCGACATGATGGAGTATTTTGAATCGTTGCCTCGTGGGCCAACTTCTTTGATATTGCGAAATTTGACTGAACTTGGCTCTGAAAGAATATTTCACACCAGGATACTACGAGACACCGCGTACAGGTGTTCAGTCATTGTCATCCTTAGTAATAGATAAGGTCCTAATAGATAGAATACGGAATCTCGACTGGTAGATTCTGCATGTCACTTGGTTGACGGTACACTCGTGAGCCAGTTTCCACCGAGTAATGTAAGCGGCGAGCTGTAGAGATGAACTGATGTATGAATGAGCAGTCATACTCTGATAGCTCAAGTCATTGACAATGTACTTCTCAGTTATGCAAGAGAATAGGACACGTTTAGAATAGGGTTGATCAGTAGATCACAGTTTTTTAAATAGGGACTTTTGTATGGATCAACTCGTATCACCACTGTGGAATATCAATTCAATACTGATTCATCTACGCATTACATTTGCTGTGTCTCCTATCAAGTTAGATGGGATGCAAGAGTATTTTTAAATTAATAGAATTCTGGAATAAATTTAGTGGAAGCTCACATCTTATTCCTCCGCGAAACAAAAAATCTCACCATTTGAATGAGATTATGATGCACAGTACTGACTTACCCATGTTAGCCCTGGGCCAAAGGATTGACAACGTAATAATTGATTAGATGCGTGTGATAAAATTAAAGCCATTCCTTTTTTCGGATACATGAATCATTCAGATAATCTTACCATGTTGGTGTATACTATTCTAAAGATGAATCATTCTATATGATGTGGTCTGATGAGTAAATTATTCCAGTCATCTTCGGTCAAGATTCTTAGAGATGAGAAGGCCACCTTTCAATCTCATTGGTTTGCTTCTCAATACGTTTTCTCAACTTCTACCTTGCTCAGCATCTCCTAGCTCCCAAGGAATTGAATACGTCTATGATATAAAAAATAACTATGTTTGCGATAACTTTTTCTTCGGCAGCGACAGAGTGAGGAGGAGTTATATCACAGGTTGTAATGAGCTATGGAACGATAATTTGGCAAGGCAGTTTCCAGCCAGATTGGAAGATAAAAATTTCGTTGGCAGAATACAAAGAACTCTATTTTCATGGCCATTAAAGAATTCTGTGGATAGTTCAGACATAAGTTAGTTATTCACACAAAAGTCGGCCTTTTAATGAATAGTGATATTTGAGATACAATAATATCTCATATCAGTTCATAAATCTGGCATCACATTACTAACTCTATTTGATTCAGGGTCCGTAGGAGACTATCGAACTGTATTCGATATATACTGTAGATTTTATGGCGTCATAATTCGTGGAAAGACTAGCCATAGTTCTTGCATTGAGTTATCAGACAGTATCGACACCAATGTGATAAGTCCTGGCTCAAACATATATAGGGGCTACAAATGTCAAACCATGATGTTCCGAGAAACTTATGTTCAAGCATCTCTCAAACAAGCAAAGAAGACAAAATTAAAAAGGAGTCGACTCAAGAAATATCCTGTCAAGGTTTCACGGCCAGGTGAAGATGGGGATGCGTACGAATGGCCTCTTTTTCCAAATAATATTATATATAAATCTTACGGTAGGAGACCTTCAAATTTATTATCTAGTTTGGATTCTAACCATTTCAAGGTATTTTGAACCGACATCTTAAGTACTTTGCTTCATATTCAGATGTGGGTCATGATGTACAGGTCTATGAAAAATCCAAATATGCCAAGAGAGAATGTCCATTGATGACAAAGACAATTGTGTCTGGTACTCGCCATTCCAATTCCATCAGCCCCCACGAACGTGTTGTCCATGATGAGAAGAAAAGCTATGACTGTAGTGGTCAGATATTCACGGACTACTACATACAAGAAGTTAATACTATGATGAGGAATGTAATATCCGGTAGATATTATTCGGAATTTAAAAATTATTATTACAGGTCCGTCAACATACTTAAAATAGATGCCATAAACAAGGTCTGGGCTTGGAATCTTCGGGTTCCAGAAACAGAATTCCAGAGTATTTCTATCCTATCTTTATTCATGGGCTCTGCTAATGTTGAAGACTCTGGCGCTATAATCAGCTACATACTTGCAATGAACCAAGCATACCAAATGGTTGGTATATATCAAGTTATGAAAGGAGAATATGCTCAATGTTCAACGAAATATGAATCTACCGGCTCTTCAACAAATAGCATGGTTTCTGATCTCGATTTAAACCAAGTTTATTCCCCCTGTAAGCGTTGTAAAGACGACACTGGATGTAGTTGCGAAGAAAACTGGCATGATCCAAAACGCCAGAAAACCACATAGCAAATTTTAGGGAAGAATAGAGAAAGCAAACCTGAATCTAGCGATTGATACCATGTGATACTTTCTAATGTAAGATAGCTGTAAGTTAGCAAAGGGAATAATTATTAATTTGAATAGATATTCGGATGGATAATTGTTGAGGAAAGATATAGTAAGAAAACAATACTGCTAGTAAATGCCTAAAGTATTTTTGGCATGCCTATAATCAGACTATTAAGTTCTAAATTTACGATATATTCTACAGAACTTAGTCTAAAGCTACTTACAAACGAAGTCAGTTATACTCTTAGGCTTGGCGACTGATACTTCAACAATTATGTGATGAATGATAATTTTAACAAACTCGACCGAATATTCCGTCCATTTGACGGACTCAATATAATTATTGGATCATCGTCTGGATAACTACAGAGAAGATAAGACGGAAATTAAAGAACTCGAAATCTCTCACCTCTCGCCTCTTGGAAACACTGACACAATTTCATAAGAGATATCTGTGGTAGTATTTCATGGGATAAGCGTCAAAAAAACATGGAAGCAAAAAGGAAGACAACTTGTTTTAATTGAAGTCTTTCATTCACAAACCTTTTTAAGACTAAGAGAGGTTGCTTAACTCTTGGAACATGTATGACTACAATTTTATGGCCTGAACATGTATCAATAGATCTTCCTGTTAGAAATTAGAATATTTATTTATTTTTAAAGGTCTACCGGGCTTCAGCTATGGCTAGAGCCCCATCTCTTGGGAGACATGGTGATAGCCATGCACCAATCTATATAACACTAAATTGAGAACCCAAAGGCCTTGAAAATGAATTTGTTAGGGTGTTGTGAGTGCTGTACAGCGGGACTCTCACATGGACATGAGTGAATTGGCACGGATTGGGCGAATTTCCGAAAGGAACTTTATCTTCTCCAAAATAGAAAAAAACGCTTAGCACCACGGGAGGAGCTAAGACGCAAATCCGGCTTCCCCAGGCTTCTTCGGTAACCAGCAGATGCTAGCCTTTCTCGAACGGAAGGACAGAAAACTAGGTGGGTGATTGACTTGTCACCACCGCAGGAGCAAGTCAAATGAGCGTCAAGGTGGCAAAAGCGAACGTGATAAGCACAAAAGTCTCCATGTCCAGTTCGGCGTTGAGAAAGGTACCCAAGATTGCGGCGAGGGAGGTCACTTGGGGAAGAAATTATAAAAAATGGGGCCATCGCGTGGGCCACGGGGTTGGTTGGTGCAGTGGTACACCATCTGGGCCGTTCTCCCAAGTAGATACTGGGTAGCTTGAACACCTACCCCGTTTGAGATCGGAGAAAGCTGGTTCGAAACCAGTTAAACTCACACGCCACTCTCTCTCGCGGTGATGTTGTTTCTGTCAGATAATAAAAGCACACTTGGAGTATCACAGAGTTTTCACGCTTTATCCTATGGTGGGTATGCACGGAAGAGGTTACTCGCCGTGAGGCTTAACCTCGCACAGTTTCTCCAATTCACATTTAAGTGTTAGTTTTCTAAACTCCAAATTGAGGAATTCTACCAAGAGTACATATCTTGCGATCAAAACCTGCACGGCCCTCATGGCGCCAAATCAGGATAATGAGTAACCAATTTATTTATTTATCAAGTGGGCCAAGTTGTTGATATACACGTGACTACAAATCCCGTACATAGTTTCACTTCGTTAGTGTATTGTATTGTATTGTATTACGGATGGATCCTAAGCTAAAGCTCTTTATCCCCATCGGGTCAAGGACCGGCGGATCCGGCAAGGTTTCCTGAAACTTTTCCTACAGCCTAACTCGTTCCAACCTCATGAATCGCTACCAAAAGTGCAGCTGATTGAACAAGAACGAAAAATCACAAAAATCAAAATAACTCCGAAAACCAGAAGATTCCTCCATGTTGGACCCAAGCAATGTGCTCCTCACACATTCCCTCGTCCGTCACACCTTCCAGATGACAAATCTGCCCATTCTCCGCTGAGAGCAAAAGATGGGTTAGCAGGCACCTTTTATCCAGCCGGTATCCTGCTATTGGTTAGTAGATGCCCCAGAAGGGACATCTTCGAGGTCGCTGTTCCCTCAAGCTTCTTCTTCAGATCGCAGCACTCCGAAACCTGATGCCTCGGCCATTAAGACACTCTTCGCCGCGGCGATGATCGCCTCTTCGGCCTTTTTGGCTGCGGCCCTAGCTCGAGCCACCTCTGTGAACTTCCCTTGCATGAGGTGGCGAATCCACGCGAGCTGCTCTTTGGTCACCGGTCCTGACTTTCAGGGTCTGACTTGGCAGTCACGGTAATCCGATCGGCGGGGTCCCCCACAGTTGCGACACTTAGTGAGAGCCTTGCACTCGGCTTCCGAGTGCATGCTGGAGCGCGGGAGCAACAACGGGTGGCGTGGAAGCCCAAACAGCGTTTGCACTGTTCGATTTGTCGACGAGACTTGTGGATGGTAGTCCTACCAGAAACGTAGAAGAGGCGGAAGCTCAGTCGAGGGGCGTTGTCCCGGTCGAAAAGCGCATGCCAGTTTCGATGCGGTGCTCCAGGTCACCACGTCCCATGGGGTCGGACCTGGATGGGACGTACGCCGGTCTTATCGAGAATCCAGATAGAGACGCACTTAGCATCGACCACCCTGGGTCCGCACACTGTAGCTATACTTGCAGGTACGTTCGGTATCTGTAAGTCGACAAGATTTGAAGATGCCTCGAGTTTGGCGTTAACACTCGCAAGCTCCGAAGAGGCATCTAACATCTCTTGTCGTGCGTTTTCGTTCTTTGCCATTAAAGCAAAGCCAGTTTTTACTCGATGGAACGAGCTGATATTGTCAGGCATGTAATGCATGCTCATCTCCATTCGGTCTCTCGCGACCCAGGTGGAATTGCGCCACGGGTGGTCCTTTTCAAGGCGAAGGAACAGTCGTTTGTCGTCTTTTGCCTTCGGGGCGTCTTTATTTTGGACTTTAGCCGCAGGCCGCGGCACAGCCTTTACAGTTGGGACTGCTTTTTGTCGCAGTTCGTTTCTGGCCACCGTAGCCCAGGTGCTTTTGAAGGGCAGCGCTGAGACGGCGGGAATTGGTATGCTCCTGGCATCGGGAGCCCTTGGGAGAGGGTTCGCCAGGCGAGGAGGGAGGACGGGTGGCGTGGCCATGTATTGTGCGATGGCGGCTCGTAGGTAGACTCTCATCGAGCATACGAATTGTCAATTTGACCCGTTGGTCAAAGGAAGAAGGGTGGCTTCGACGCCAGAAATGGCAGTGGGGCAGAGGGCCGGATTTGCTGCTGTTTCGGCGGCACGAAGTTGTTCAGCTTCGACAATTGGTCGAAGCTCGAGGGGATACTCTGCTTTCGTAGCAGCTTTTGGCTGCGACGTTGATGTTGACGCTGCTATGGGTGCAGCGTTTTCCGACAGTTTTGGCGCGGTCGGAGGAGATTTTGACGATTCTCAAATCCCGTGGGGATGGAGACTCGTTGAGGAATTTCCTAAACAATTTCAACTGACCCGACCATGTCAGTATCGGGTTCAGCGACGGCGGGGAGGGCTTTTCCTTTCCCTTTGATTGAGACCTTGCTCATCTCCGCGCATTTCGGAGACTGGACAAGGCCAGATAATTTTTCGAGGGCCCTCGTGTGGACTCTTGTGTTGTCCAACTTGGCGTTGGGACGCTTTTTGCGAACTGGAGGCATGGTGAAAATGCCTAGGCTCGATCACAATTCTGAGATGGATGCGACGAGAATGAGAAGGGAGGAAAGAAGGAAAAAATGAATTTTCGTATTTCTCAAAAATGTGCAATTGTTTGTTCATTGACGTGCTAGTTAAAATAACTCCCTTCGCACTCCTACTGGAGCTTGAGCACGAGTGGGGTCGGGCCGGATCAGGTTAACTACCCTTGAGTACAAGTGCCTCGTCCCACCTAAATGACCGGAACACCTCAGACTTCAGCTATGTGTTGAATCATTTCCAGTCCAACCGTCCAGAAAACCCTCTTTTGGCGCGCCAAAGCGTAAATTCCTCCTCAGCCTTGGCCACCACGCGCCCGAGCCCTTGACACCTTCGCCATCTGTAAATTTTCCCTCCATTCGTTCCCAGCTTAGGCTCATCTCAGCATCTCATCTTATCCAGGGGTCGTTTTTTTCATTGGAGACCTCATCCAGACGCCCACCAAGGCCTCCTCAGTTTGTGTTCCCATTTGTTCCTTCATGCTGCATCCCTCTATCTTTCAGCCGATCTCTTCATCCCAGAAACTTTGTAGAATGTCCACCCCTCCGGACTTGCCCCGTCGCTGCCGTACCCCCAACTGTGGAGGTCAAAAATGTGACTGAGAGCTCAAGACCGAAGCACCGAAGCCCCAGCCTTTGTCGAATGCTCTGTTGGTGTGTTGGCGAGATGTCGTACGTTTATCGTAGGTGGCAATTCGTCGCAGTTCGAGTTGTTGGTGCCCTTGGCCGAGGTGAGGACGCATCCAAGGCCAGTATTTCGACCGTACCTTCACAGCAAATCGTAGTTGCGGAGATTCGGACATCTTCTTGCCTCTTTGATGGCGATTTGGCTTTTGGAGGTGAGGGATTGCTCCGGTAGATGATTTTGGCTGAGAATAAATTTCCAGAGAAAAAGAAAATAAGATCTTGAAGGTGTCGGTTGTTGTGATACGAACATCAGACAGGTTATAGGCTGTCTGCAGTTCATACCTGGGGTGTAGATGGTTGGTTTCGTTGATTAGTGCAGTCGTGAAATCTCTGCAAGTCGGATTTTCGACCAAAAATGAGCCAATACCACTCCTCCCGATCGCCAACTCGACGAAAACTCTTAAACTCGGCCTTCATCGTAACTGAATCTCAGCTATGGGAAAATATTTCACTCCCAGGTTCGTAGAGGATACCACTGACAGGTGTTCAGCCTTCGTCCTCCCGTTTCAAGGGCCGTGTTGGCTAGGCAGTCAAATGAGTCGTTGAAAATGTCTTTTTCCAACCGATTGTTTGAAAAAGACGATTGGATCACAATTCCTGGCGAGCGGGGTAATGAGGGGTGACAGTCTAACCTATTACGAGCTAGCCCAACTGCGCCTGCGGGGCTAATCCCTTAAATAGCCCAGTTTCATATCCATCGTCTCGTACTGTACAGTTACTGTGAGCATCTGAGACAGCTAAGAGAAAGCACAGTTCTCTCTCCCAGGAACTCCATTTATCTATATGGCTACCTCTTTTGCAAAAAGCTCCTACGATTGTCGCAGAGAGGTAGAGCGCAGTGCTCAATCGATCAAAGATTTCCTAGTGGTGGCAACATCGCCTCTAACAAGCTCATGGTATGAGTGGCCAAGTGCTGGTTGGGCCTTCAAGAGGCGGCTGGTTAAACTCCTTCATAGCTTATCTTGGATTTGACTGCAGCTGCTGGTCGAAAATGAGTTGAGAGGGATGGTTTAGGTTTTCTTGAGTTTTGCTGATGAGGATTTGTCCTCGACCTGTGAGCCCATGGTCATGGTGAATACGTCCCTATCCATCCAACCCAATATAATTAGCTGGCCCAATCGGAGGTGTAAGGAATAGCCGGGTACCAACTGGGTAATGTTGAAACTTGGAGGATCATGTATTCTAAATAACCCTTCTTACGTCCAATACCTCTTCAGAATGGTGGCCTAGAGCCGGGGCATCAGGAAAAAAAATGCTTGGAAAATGCTGTAGGTACAGTGTTACGGTTTGACCGCTGTTTAAGCTTAGGAGGAACCTAAACGTTTAATTAGGAATAATTACGATAAGACTGAAAGAGGAAAGATTGACAAATATAGATGAAATGGCACTACTAGCCAGGAGGTCGAAGCAACATCATGGCGTAATGACTCCTGATAATACTTAGCTCTTTTTTATTTTTACTTTTATCATTTAATGTGTATTTAATACTTAGCTCGGTAGCAACTATTAAGCCTAGGGGAAAGTTATCAGTCAGTAGATTCACGAAGCGGACCAAACTTTATAAGTACCTGTTAGTAGTAGCCAGTTATTTTTTTACTCTTCATATAGTTTTATAAATCGATTTATTCATCACCAACTCGGTTTCCGTCACATACAGTTTATTAATTGTAAAACTATTTGGAAGGGAGTCCCACTGCCAATATGGGGTCTATACAACGTCTAATGCGTAGCTCTCAGAACGATGCCCACCTTTTTCACCAGTCAGATTCGCCAAGCCCACTTCAGATGAATCATGGTCAGGCTTCGGAAGCAGATATATCCAATATATTCTGAAGAGGTTCTCTGTAGATCTTCTGGGCCCTCAAGCTCCTGATGTCTATCCCAAGATTCCCTACATATCGATGCCTGTGCTAGCCAACGCAGGCTAAAGATTTCGTGATACTTACCAGCCATTATAGCTCGCCAAAAACAGACGATGAGTAATTCACAATCACAAATCAAATAGGCACGAGAGAAGGATCGCATTTACAGCCTGAGAATTTTAAGTTTCAATCCGTTTCCATGTAACCATCTTTCTTCTTAGCTCATCACAAATGATTGAGTGAAGGCAAACTTTAGCGTAATGTAGATAGTCAAGGTATTGAAGGGTGGTGGTGCACATGGTCGTATTCACTTGGTATCTTCAATTGAATAATTATGACTACTCGAGGTGCTTAGAATACGCATGGGTGATTATGGCAATAATGTTACGGGATGCGAATGGTATCTAATTGTGTTTTGTTCTATTGTTACAGCTTATTTACATCATAATCAAACAAACCCAAATACTTACAAATAGCGCCGTAGCTAATCTCTTTTAAGAATAATCTACGGGTGAATGTAGTGATCTGTGGTATTTAATTTATTACTGACCTGTTTCCATTTCCATTTCCCTGGCGCTCAATGCTACACTACGTGTATGAAAATTTACTACTAATGTCAAAAGCGTATTTACAACACAAGGTACAGTTGAAGACCTCTGTACCATAGCTATTCCAAATTGTGCGCATCTTTTGGAAACTCCTAGATTATCTGCCATGGTGGAATAAAAATCTACCTTTTGCCCTAAAATTATTAAAATAATATATCTAGACTTGAGTAGCATTGACTGCAAACATATGCGGTGACGATGAGTAATGTAAAGTGGAATATAAAAGTTGGATACTGATTGATCATTAGGAAGCATTTTAGACAGACACCGCTATATTATTTCTGTTGTTAGAAAGGTAATTCATAGTAACTCAACAAATGAAACTAGAGTACATTATGGATCGGTGTTAATAGGTATTACGTCCATTGCAAGTATTTTAAAACATTCACATTCTTAATAGAACCAGCAGATGAATAACATTAAGCTCTTCCGCTGGTCTCTGCTTTTTAAGATTCTTCATCAACGTTGATGGGGAGTGAATCTTAATCCAAGCCTGCATAAATATCCACAATTATGTTGACAGCAGCAACAAGTATTTCAGCCGCAATGAGAACAATTACTGTATGTATTAGTAAGGCGTTTTCTGGTCAGGCTTTGTTATCTTACCAATCCATTCAAGCATTTCACCATGACCATGACTCAATTGATCCTTGAGTACAGCTAGTAGATCTGCAATAACATCCAATCTATCAGTGAGTAGGCTTACTCGCTGATCCATTTCTAGGTAGCTGCGCACAGCTTGATAAACGGGCTCTAATTGCGGTTCCAACCAAAATATCTCAGGAGTATCCAAGACTGATCCATTTAAATGTATATTTATACGAAGTATAAAAAGCTCTCCTATTTGCATGTTGATTTGAGTTCGGCTTAGGGCTATTTTACCCGTCGTTGCGATCTGACCCGGAATATCTTTGCATGCCTCGATGGTGTTATCAACTAGTTCTTCGAACATTGATGTCTATTCTGTTAGTCACAGAATTAGGTTCTACATCACAAGGAAAGAGCTACCTTTACACTTTGAGCTAGAGCATGCGATATAGCGAGCTTTGTCATATATGCACCTTTGTCCCTTAGCGTGATAAAGTCATTGTAGATGCGGGCTTGGTATTCTCGGGTATAGTAGAAATTGAAACATTCGGTTTCCACATCGTCAGGTGCTAGTTTTTCATCTTCAAATTTTGCTATTTCTTTCAAAAATTGCTGCTCATGCTGTAGCGACATGCCCCATATTACAACAACTCCGTAATCGAATAAAAACACCTCGGGAGTGTGGACCTGTGTGTCGAAGTCCGGACTATTTTCCGATGTGATTACTTCGGTATGATTTCGATCCGAGTTATTGCTTGTGCCATTCTCTCTATTATTATGACTGGAATCGCCCTCATTGCGCAAATCAATCAGATCGCCCCTTCGATTTGAACTCTTATTGCTGTCATCAATGATAGCACCAGGACTACTCTTTCCGTAAGGGTCGATTGGTGTAGGCTGAACCTCATCGTTACTCTGTCGATCATACTCAAACGGTGTATAAATACATTCGTCTACCAACTTTGGATTTGCACCTCTCGCCGCTCCTCGACCTTTAAGGAATCGCATCATGTTTTCAAGTTGATATTTACTGGCGGTACAGTATGCAGTTACCCGAGGTAGACGGTCGCGATCTGATTTTCCCAATCTTGCGGCATCTCGACGAGCAGTAGGATCTTTGATTCGTGTGTATTGTGAATAGACATCCCTCCCGCTCTCTTCATCTGGACCATCTTCTCCAAACTCAGGGTTGGGTAGGAGCTTGAGCTTCTGCGTTTTTTTGGTCGTTCGTTGTGGACCAATCTTAGGGACACTATTCTGCATAGTTACTACAGATCCTTGACTGCTGCGACGCCTGAGTCGCATGGGCTGCTGTTGGGACGACGAAGTCGTTGAAGGAATAGTATGGGACTTTGTATCGATCGATATAGCTGCTGGTGTAGTATTAAATGATACATTACGATTGTTTTTTCGGAATACATCGCGGGAATTTCCAGTTGGAGACAGAGGCGAAGCTTCTACTGTCGCAATAGCCATTGTTATGGCAGCCTGGCGATGTATCGATCAATTAATTCTCGTGATAAAGATGGCTTAGGCTTGTTGAAGGATGTACGAATGTGTTCTGAAGATAATGCTACACAGTCAGTGTGATATACTAAGCTTGTCGTATATTAGGTGTGGTAGGGATAAATAATCAGTACTTGTCCTTTTGGTCATTGCGCCTAGAGATGTGTCAGTTTCCTGAAGGTAATAAACGCTTGCTCTGTACACGTAAGTGTGAGTCTGTTATTGGAAACTTTCATATTGAGGTAACCAACAACCTTCTTTCTCATCGATCGCCTCAATTTTATTCCACGACTCTAAAACACTTAGATTGATGCCGAGTATTCGACCGATTCAAGTACCTGTTGCGGTAGTTGAGTCTGCGTCGACCGTACAGATAGCAAGCATGGCACGGGCCGTTGATATATACCCTGTTTTGGCTTCATTGTTCGATTTGATGTCATCAACGTGACAGGACGAACCCAACATATTTTTAGACGTGACACGGGCTTTTGCTTCATGATGAATTGATTTATTTCAATTTAAGTCTTTTTGGAGTCCTGGAATATGAAAGAATACTTCTGGATTTACCTAAACAGTTTTTCAATCTGTGTGTAAATTCCAAATATAAATATCACACTTTTATGCCAGTTGATCTTGAGGGTCAAGCCCTAAGTTCATCACGAATTGACAAGAGGAGTCTTGATACGTAGGGAAAAGTGAAACCTCTCTACCAACAAGCTAGGAAAGACTGTCTTGGACCTCGGGAGGCACACGAGAACAACCTTTGCTCTCCAGCGTTGAATAAGTAAATTACAATCAAAAAGTATTATCAGACTATCTCCTCTCGTTCCACCATAAATTAGACGAAGACCCCGAGCTGGTTGGTGCGGTAGAAGTTTGATTGCTTGGAAATCAATCTCATGCATGAAGGAAAATCGCTGGTTCTTGTAGTGGATGACGCCGCTACATTTATCGCACTGCTAGCACACAGCAAGATGGATAAATTTTTAGATAATCGAAATTTTTGAAAAGTTTCTCAAATAAGAAGTTAGATACAAGCTAGGTATTGAGTAAGTAACTACACCTTTAAGTGTTATTTACATATCAAATCTTTAGAATGAATGTCTCAATTCAAAGGTATCATCTAACGTGTTCACCAAAAACGAATGGTGCATCGTGGCTAGAAAGCTGCAAGCATGTTGAATCATTCAAATAGCAGAAATGTCCGTCAGTCTTAGAATAAAGCTAAGACAAATACTTGCCGGCCAGGATATTTGATTTGTTTTTGAGGTAAATCTCCATTTTTCTTGCACCTGCATAACAGCAGATAACTAATGGTGCGCTCACAGGATTTCATCAAAAGGCCTTTGTGAGATTAGCACATCACACAAAGACAATATCACTTTTAGCCTTCCTGAGTATGTATCTATTGTCAAGCCTAAAGCGTTACGGCCCACCTCTTGGGCCAACGCTGATCAAGCTTAGATCAAATTGATATTAATGACACGGGGTTTTCTCATCGCCATAGAAACAGGTTAGTGGCGCATGTCCATGCGAAATCTGGCAACTGAGATCTAGGAGCATCATATCTACATAAGTTTAAGACAGAATTGGGGATCAAGAATGGTGATGTGTATTATCTTAACACAAGAGTGGCGAAGTGATCAAGATTACATATAGTTTTCAACAATAAACACCGATTTGATTAGATTAAGTGGAGGGCAAGACTGAACACCTGTACGCGGTGTCCTCGACGAACCTGAGAGTGAAATATTCCCCCAGAGCCAAGTTCAGTCAAATTTCGCAATATCAAAGAAGTTGGCCCACGAGGCAAAAATCCAAATAACTCCTCCACGTCGTTTTTTCGCTCCCACCGAGTTTGACTCCTACCTAAGTCTCATCAAGCCTACAAGTACGACCAAGTACATCCTCATCCCAATGATCACACAACTCTTCGATCTTCTCTGGCCTCAGTTGACCACTAAATACGCGCCCACGCTGATATTTATACCCGAGGGAGGAAGCAAAGCGTGGCAGATAAATCTGGGAGACAGTTCATTGGGATGGGCGTGAGAGGTATCAGGACAAGTTGACAAGATGATGCGAAGGAAGGATATTAATTCGAAGGGCGTAAGATTCTAAATTTTGGCAAGGGTTTTACGAATTGGACATTGTGTGCGTCAAGACTTCGCTTGCAAGAGTGCAGCTGACACTGTAAAACCAGGTCGACGATAGAAGGTGCCGTGGTCCACCTCCTGGTGGTGTTCTCCGGCATAGTCTGAGTAGCCTGGGCACCTACTCCACTTGGGAAGGAGACATCTTAGATTACGTTTCGCGCGGAGAAAAGTTGAAAGACGATGGAGGCATGTCTGGATAGCTCAGGGTTTTTGAGACGTTCCCCTGGGTGGGTATTCACGTTTGAGGGTTGACTTGGAGTGAAGAAAAAGCCGGCATAACTTCGCAGTGGTACTTGCAAATGAAATCTGAGGCATGTGTGTGTGCTTTTATTGTACTACTTGAGTCTATGACTATCTAGCACATTGGACTCCTCCCTGACCTAGGCCACACCTTATACATTGCTCCCTGCCTCTCATGTTTCTTGAAAGATCATTGATATATTGCCCGTGATAAATAGCCATTCAGCTCAGTATTTATCCGTAGAATTTGGCCACCTTTTCCACGAAACCTTCTACCCAAAATAAAAATAAAAATTGGAAGCATTGGAAACTGCGTGCGCGGGAAAAAGTCTCAAAAAAACTGCAGCCCCAACCAGGCGAGGCCTAGACACCGGGACCACATGAGGTTTGCATATTCATCCATATCTCCCTTCTTTGTAACAGTCGAGGTCGACTTGATCCAATCCGCCATCTCCGTATCGGGTGCTGGGTACGATCCGGAAACTCATCGGATGGCTTCTCCTCCATGATTAAGGATTGGTGATGAGTAGGGCTCCGACCCTACCATCGCGAAAGTGATTGGGAATCCTTGTCGAAGTGAAGAATTTGTTAATCAATCTCTGCTCTGCAGACTCTACAGTGAGAGCTGGAGGTTCGTAGGGGACACCACTGACAGGTGTTGAGAATAGTCCCCCGAATTCACACTGTGTAAAAAGTGTAAACGCACTTCTTGTAGGAAACCTCAGAAAACCAATAGACACAAGACAGGCAGTTCTAGGGGGGGTTTTTACCGAATTTAGTTTCCTCCTGTGTAAATATTATAGTTAGATATACCTGCATGGGCCCAAAGGGTACCTGAACGGGCTAAACAAGATCAAATTAAAATAACTAAATGTGAATAAATTTTTTCAGTCTGATCCACACTGTTCTGTTGCTTCAAGCCTCGTATATAATTTAAAACTAAGCGTATAACGACCGCTTACAATTGTTAATAGAAGTAAGACTTTGAGTGATGTATTTTGTTTCTTGTCTATTACCTTTTCTAGCTACAAGTGTGTTGTCCATGAATGTGCGCGACCCTAAGTCACGGGATACGGGACCCACAGTTCTTCCGAACAAAACTGTGTGCCTCATTCGATGTGTGGTTTCAACTAGCCTGCACAACATTGCAGTCATAAAATCAATGTCTCTAAATTACACATGTTATCATTCAATGAAAAAGGTTCATTTGAATTTAGATCTAAAAATAGCTGCCACGGCCAGAATACTCAGCATCAATACTAAGGGGGGCCCCATCTACAGTTTGCCTGTCTTGTTCATCAGGGCTTCCTGGCTCTTCAAGGCCATCATTTGAAGGAACAGCCTTCAATGCTACAAGCGCTGAGTATTCGATTTTGGGAGGACTGTATAATTTTATGCTGTGAATCTCCCGGCCTGAAGGCATGGAAGATATTAGGGTTCCGATAGCTGGGATTTTTTGCACATTGATCTGACTATGTTAGTGCTATGCATGGATAACCGACGAATTAACTCTACCGTATCATTTGTTTTAGTCCACTTTTTCTCTAGCATTTCCAAAATTCTCCGTTCATCAATTTTGCCCGCATCAGCACCCCACTGTGTATCCTTTTCCATCCTCCTATCTTCTCGTTTCCCATCCCAATCTCTCTTTATTCGCCTAATGCCTTTACCTAACTGATCTTCCGGAGTATGCCTAAGCTGATGCAGCCCAGCCTGGAGCCAAGCGACAGCTGTGCCCAACTGTCCAGAAATCTCGGCGTCAATCCCTAAGAAACGACATGATCTTGCCCGACTACTTTTAATCAATTTATCCATATAATTTAACAATTCGGGGTTAACTTTTCCCTGGCCGTTTGAGGAGACGGAATTTAATAATGATAGGCCATTAGCTGCATGTTCAGCAGCAGCTAGGCATAAACGAGCAAAGAGATGTGCTCTTACCTTTGGAATCTCAGTGGCTTTTATCATCCATTCTTTATCAGATTTATTGCGATCTTGTGAAACAACTGATGGATAAGGGTCATCTTTAAAAACTGCTAGAAGGGTTGCTTCAGCCAGTGCTAGGGAGGCCAATGCTTTGAAACTGGCTTGTGATATATCGATACATGGTGCTGACATAGGTAATTGCTCAGAGCGAGTTGATAAATACTCATGAATTGAGCCGGCAGTTAGGAGGTGTTTAGTTGCGGTAGTAATGGCGAGCATTCGCTGCTGATGATCTAGTGGGCTAGTTGATGTGCTATAAAGTGGATAAAGAGCTGCTCGTGAAAAGAGCGTGTGAGTATATGCTAAAGTAGATAGGACGAAATAAATTTCATATTCTAAAGATTTTAAATTAAGCCTTGCTACTTCGCGGCCAGATAGAGGTTTATTTGAAATTGTTGGTCTCCATTCTAGGCACGGGGTTGACTTTAGAACAATGTCTAGCGGCTGACCAGCAACTGATCCATTACTCAGCCCGTGGTCAACAGCCAGTAGATAGGGTATATAATTTTCTAGTCCGGTGAGGACTGAGGAAAGATGAGCTGACTGTTCAGCGGGCGGTAGACGCTTGTGCTTTTTCAAGGTGTCTCTTAGCACACCTCGATACGTGCTTGCTGCGAGGGGCAAAGAAGGGTGAGAGTCACTGCTGAAATATTGTGAAAAAGCGAATGAAGATGTTGTCGGAAGAGAGAATTGGAACGGCATTTTGTGAACAGCTCACGTTGGTGCACGCTGCTGTGAGTGTGGGATCGCCGCTAATAGCAAAAGCCTTGCACAAGACCAAAGTAATAGTCACATTGGTATTCACTGGCTCGGTGTACGTTTCGCACGGACCTACGTCATCAATGATTATCAATGTATTAGATGCTTCATTCTTTCCTTGTATACAAACTAATAAACTATTACTTCCAGATACCTCCGCTTAAGGGAGACCAATTTTTGGCACCGTTAACAAACATATATCAACAAAAGCCATGGTGCCAAATGAGAATCAAGACAGTCAAAATGCTACGCAGTTGCTGGGCTCCTCTGGAACTCTAAGTCAAGTCAAAAACATCACTGAGGAAAAGGAGACAAAAAAATTTGCAGGTCTGCAATCTTTGGTTGCTGGGGGTTTTGGTGGAGTCTGCGCTGTGATTGTCGGACATCCATTCGATCTCATTAAAGTCCGCCTACAGACTGCAGAAAAAGGCCACTACCGAAATTCTATTGATGTCGTGCGGCAAAGCATCACAAGAAACGGTCTTCGAAGGGGACTATATGCGGGTATAACTGCACCCTTAGCAGGGGTGACACCTATGTGTTCGTTCTTCCACTTAGTACTCTTGCTTTTATTTTGCACTTATTTGACTGAAATACGGACGGGAAAAGTCTAACATTTTTCCTCATTTAGTTGCCGTGTCTTTCTGGAGCTATGATGTAGGAAAATCTTTGGTCCACAAGTTTTCCAGGGTGGAAAATGAGGGTCTATCTGTTGCACAAGTTTCAGCTGCTGGGTTCTTCTCTGCTATCCCTACGACGCTCGTGGCGACACCTTTCGAGCGTATTAAAGTTCTCCTCCAGATTCAGGGGCAGAGAAATCTCAAACCAGGAGAGAAGCCAAAATACAGTGGCGGATTCGATGCCGTGCTGAAAATTTACAGGGAGGGAGGCATTCGTTCAGTATTTCGCGGAAGCTTGGCTACTTTTGCCCGGGATAGCCCTGGCTCAGCTGTTTACTTTGCTACATACGAAGTCGTAAAACGGAGGCTAACTCCTATAGATCCCTCTACTGGCAAAGTGTCTGGGGAATTAAGTTTAGGTGCCGTGACAGTTGCAGGTGCAAGTGCAGGTATAGCTATGTGGATACCAGTATTTCCGATTGATACTGTGAAAAGCCGGCTACAAACTGTGGAAGGCAATCCAAAAATAGGCAGCGTTATTCGGGGCTTATATACTAGTGGAGGATTGAAAGCATTTTTCCCCGGAATAGGGCCTGCATTGGCTAGGGCTGCGCCTGCAAATGCCGCTACCTTCTTAGGGGTCGAACTTGCGCATTCAGTCATGAACAAATTGTATGCAATGTGAAGCTGCCCTAGAAAAAGATATGTGAATATTTTACTGGGTTTTCTCCAAGTCGGGCAAATTACAACCCTTCTAATGATCACTAATTAAAGAAGAATCCCGTGAGTCTTTCTAAGAAAGAGCTTTAAAGTTAGTTGTGAGGGGTTTTAGTGGACAGGTCATCAAAAGCTTGCTTTCCCTTAGAGTGAGTTACAAAGAGGTGATAAGAAAAATCAAAGTCCAATTTGATTAGCTGAGCTTGAGCAAGACTTGACACGGTAAAACGCTTCGCAACGAGTGTGGAGAAGTTAGTACAGTTCTAGACAGTCTTCCTTGAAAAACTTGATTGAATTCCTTACACAAAGCTTATTGTGAATTCATGAAGCCAGCCTGAGTGCGCTGTCGTTTATGGTTTCAGAAAAGACGAACACAAATTCTAATACATTGGTACTGATTGCAATGTGAGGTGGGTTTTTATCAGGTGGGCTGCAGTCGAGATCGGCCTACCGTGGTAAGATATCTTGCATGACCATTCTAAAATTTTGAGACGCAAGAAAACGAACACTTGAAGCTAGATTGGGCAAAAGCTGAAAATCTACCGATGCTTTCTCCTAACAATTTAAATTAGTTCCGGAGATTGTAAGAATTACACACTAGCCTCGAGTTTGATTTAGAGATACGATACATGTGTTACTAAACAAAGAAGTTTACTAATATTTAATGGATAGTTAATTGTAATTAAATTGCTGTAATTCTATATTTTTTTTTTTTTACTTTTGGTCCTAAGCTAACGCTATCTTTTCCACATTGGGTCAAAGACCGGTGGAGCCGGCAAGGATCACTGCGTACAGGCCCAACTCATTCCAACCGCATGAACTTCTACTGAAATTGTAGAAGTTAACAGCAAAACTAAAATTAAAAACATAAATCAAAAACTGAAATCAAGCTTCGAAGATATACTGTTTGGTCCGGATCTCGCGCTTCTCGCCCGTTCCCTTTCCTGCCACATATTCCACGTGACTTTTTCTTATCCCCGCTGAGAGCGAAAGATTAGTTCGCAGATACCCGGAATTCAGCTGGTATCCTGCTATATATTTTGAAGCTTTTTGTAGACTTCACCGAGGGTTGCTGTACCCTCAAACTTCTTTTTCGGATTCCAGGATTCCGAAACCCGATCCCTCGGCCATCGAGCCACTTTCGCGAACTCCCCTTGCTGGATCTAGCGGATCCGCGCGAGCTGCTCTTTAGTCACCGGTCCGGACTTGCTGGATCTGGCTAAGCAGGCCCGGGAATCCGATCGGTGAGGTCCCCCATAGTTTCGACACCGAGTGAGGGCCTTGCACTCTGATTCTGAGTGCATATTAGATCCGCATTTCCAGAAAGCTGGAGCGCGGGAACAACCACGGGTGGCGTGAAATTCAAGACACCGTTTGCATTGTTCGATTTTGCGACGAGGTCGGAAGAGCTTTGCAGCTCCAGAGTCGTCGAAAAGGCGGAATCCGGGTCGAGGAGCGGATTCTCGGGGAAAGAGCGCTTACCAATTTGAATAGGGAGCCCCTGGTTTGCTAATCCTATGAGGACGAACCAGAAAGGGAACCAACTGGGTCACTCGCGTGACTTCGTCGGCAACCATCTATGCTGTCACGGCGATGGGGCCAGCAAGAGTTCGAATTTTCTCCGGGACGGTGGAAATTTGCATGGCAACCAGATTTGATGCTGGTTCCAGTTTGATTCCAGATTCGCTCCGTGATGTGGAGGAATCTAAGAGCTCTGTTCGAGCGAGTTCATCCTTTGCGGTTATTGAAAAGCGGGTCTTTACCCGCTGAACCAACGTGATATTGTTGGCAGCGGTTCCCAGCGCCTGAGACACCGCTAGCCTTACTCCAGCTGGAGAAAGGAGACGGTGGGGATGGAAATATTCAAGGCGCAGAAAAAGTCGTGAATCGGCTTTTCCATTCGAGTTGGCACTTTTTGCTTTCTGGGCGGGCGGTGCTGCCTTTTTTGTCGATGGCCCAGCGCTACTGACTAGGCCTGCCCGAGCTACGGTGGCCCAAGTTGTCTTTGGGGCCGGAGCCTGGGTTTTCGTAGAGTTAGGTGCCCTAATTTCTGGAGCCCTCGGTGAGAGAGGGTTGGCGGGGCGGGTAGGAAGGACTGGTGGTGTGCTTTCTGGACCGAATTCAACGAACTGGCCAATAGCTGCTCGTAGGTAGACTTTTATACCGTCTACGAATTCTTTATTTTCGCCGATCGAAAGAGGCGAAAGTGCTGCTTCAACACTGTTTATCGCAGTCGAGCAGATGGCGAGGCGGGCCGTAATTTGCGTCGTACGTCGCTTTTCGGCCTCCATCACGGTTTGCAGCTCTGGAGGAAACTCCATAGCTGTTGTCGATGCTGCGCCTTTTGAGGCTGGCACAGCATTTTTCCCGGCAGACGATTCTGCGCGTTCGGTCGTCCTTTCTCTGACGACCTCCTTTCCTTTCCTGGAGCTGCTTGCCTCGAGGGCCAGCTCGGCGGGTTTCGCGGTCTGTTGACTTTTCGTTTCTGTTCTGATCGGATCAGAATCAGTCATCTCTTGGTCGGGAAGGGTGGAAGACTTCCCTAGGACAAAGGCCTCACTCGCAAACAAGCTTGATAATTCTTGCGCGAGGCCAGGAGATTTTGGACACATGTGTGTCCGTTCAAAGCCAACAGAAATGGTCGATTTTGGTCGTTTGCTCTTCATCGGAGGCATTTTTGGACGCCTTTCGATGGTTATCAATTCGAGAACTCAAGAAGAGGACTAATCATAAGAAGGGAAAATGGGAAAATAGAAATTTTCGAATTTTCGAATTTCTCGAATTTTTATTTTATTTTATTTTTTTATTATATCAAAGTCCTAAGCTAAAGCTCTAGGTCCACTATAGGTACAAGACTGGTGGAGCCGGCGAGGATCACTGCTAACAGGCCCAACTCATTCCAACCGCGAGACCTGCTACAGAAAAAGTAGGAGGTAAATTATAACTCAGAAGACTCCACCTACTCCGACTCCGAAATCGAGACTCCATCCTTCAACCCTAAATTCAAGTACATAAAAGATTTCCTCAGAGAAACGACACTTCTCGCATCGATCCCTTTCGTGTCATGCGTTGTGGCATTGACTAGTTTATCTGATCCCCACTAAGAGCAGTGGATGAGTGAGCAGGTCGTCTATCAAAACAGTCGGTTTCCTGCGCAAAATTTTTGAAGCTATCGTGGCACTTTGGCCCGAGAAGCTTTTTGATAAAGTCAGTGTGGGACATTGACTTTCTGAGCCTACGCGTTTGTTGTGCGTGGCGGCTACAATGGATAAAGTGGGCTGGAGTAGTCTCCTTCCCGCAAGAGCACTCCATTGGAGTGTATGGATTATTAAAACGGCGATAGTATGCCGCAAAATTGCCGTGACCTGTTCGTGCTGCGATTAGTGCCCGGAGGAGGTGCCTAGAGAGAGACAGTTCAGGTGGTTTGCGTCTCCGCACCTGTAGGTCGAGTTGGCGGTATTGAGGCGGACAGGCCTCTTCCCACCAGTCGTCTAGCAGCCTCTATCGTCTGCGATTCATGAGAACACGTAGATATGCCAGAGTACATGATCCTGGTGGTGTCTCCTGGCTAGGTAACTCTCGAAGTGCGGCACGGGCAATGGTGTCTGCCTCCTCGTTCCCTTGGGGATTCTCGATTTGTGCGTTTGTTTGTTTGTTCATTAACGTGCTAGGTGAAGTAACTCCTGTCGCACTCCTACTGGAGCTTGAGCACGAGTGGGGTCGGGCCGGATCAGGTCAACTACCGTACAGTACAAATGCCTCGTCCCACCTAAATGACCGGAACCATGCCAAAACGCATCTATGTGTTGAATCATGACGAATTCAGCAGCCGAGAATTGAAAACAAAACAAAAACTTTCACGCTAAATCCCGCATTACAAATGAAAAACTTAAACAACCCCCATTCCATCGTTCAGCCTCAGCCACCACGCGCCTGAGCCTCCATTCCTATCCCTCTTTCCATGCCAAACTACCCAGGCTTCCGTTTTATCACCTCCGAGTCACAGGTATCCCTGCCATCCCCCGACTAGCCTCCGCGTAAATCCCACTCTCCTGAACGTAGTCCCTGAAGAGCAGCCATCCATTTGATCCGAGCATCGTTTCCAGAGCTGGTGCCCTACGCTTTCCGCTTTTCAGCCGCCATCTTGCCAGTGCTTTTCGATACTGGACAAGGTGACTGTTCGGATTAGGTCCTGGTCAACGATGTCTAGCCTAATTGTGCTATGTTGCAGGCTACTGTTCCAATTATTCATGGGGTCATCATCAGGGTTGTGAGTAGTTTCGGTTATGGTGTGGGTTAATAGATTGATAACTAGGCGTGTCGCATAGTAGTCAGATATGCGACTTAAGTAGCATATGCATGGTAAACCTCAACCCCAAAATGATGATACGAATCAAGTTTTATATGCTACGTCCTATATGGCTAGCGTGGTTGGAATATGGGGAATCTGCTTGTAGATAGATATAGATGTTGTAGCTCTGATAGTTGGGACAAGTCTTCTTCAAAATTAAATCGGAATCAATCCCAGCCTCTCATTAAGCAATCTCATGAATTATTTCCAATGTCTGTGATAACAGACATACATATACAATATCGACAACAAGATTTAAAGTCGATAAGTGACCAATTGATTTTCCCTCCCACACTCGCAGTTAAGTGTAGCGTCAGTGTGATTGAAGCCGCGATGATATGCCGCAAAGTCTCCATGTCCGGTTCGGGCAGCGATCAAGCGTGCGAAGACCGCTCTAGGTAGCGCTTGCTCTGGCGGTTTCTTACGCCGCATCTCGAGATCATGATCGGCGTAGTGTTTGGGACGATTCCAGTGCCACCAGTCTGTCAACATCTTCCTGGCCAGTTCACAGGCTTTCCGTCCAGATGAGGCGAGGGTCATCACACCATGTGTCGTCCTAGAGTTGTCCGGCGAGTTAAGCTCTCTTCGAGCGAGTTCATCGGCGATTTCATTTCCTGCCAGCCCTTCGTGGCCCGGAATCCATCCTATTTTGACAGGCGCGGCTGATTCAGCGGCCAGTTTCACGAACTTTTTGATACGCCAGGATGATGAGCCCGTTGTTCCCGTCAGTAAAGCCTGAACAGCCACAGAATTGTCGAGAAGGATGTAGATAGCGCTGCGTCCTCGATCTCGATTGCTAGCAGTGATTGCTTCTATAGCAGCCAAAGCTCCATGGACCTCTGCGTCGTAGACCTCCGCATTGGTAATTTTGCCTGAGCCGCTTTGCTAAATTGTCGTACCTGTGCCACTGATAAAGGTCACAAAGGCCCATGACACTTTGTCGGTGGACGCCCCAGAACCATCACTGTACACGCAGAGACAGTCGGGTGGGAGTGTAGGCAGCCACTCTCTTATGAACTTGGCAGCCTCTTTCTTGCTTGTCCAGCAGGGAATTGGCTGAGGGGGGACCGGAGGTCGGAGCGGTGGAGGTAGTTCAGCCTCTGGCAGAAGTCGATACATTCTCTGGACCCTCGAATCATGAACTCTGTCCAGACAAAGTCTGGATTTGTTGCATGTCTTTAGTCCGAGTCGATGGCGAGCGCTGTCGGTGCTTTCTGTGGCCCGGAGTCGAAGCGGATGGTACTCATCTAGTCTTCGGATTCGTGCGGCAGTCTTGAGCCTGCGTTCCTCGAGCAGAATTTGTGCTGGCGGAATACCAGTCTCCATTCTCAGAGCTGCAATGGGCATGGTCCGCCAGGTTGGTAGAGCCACGCGAATTCCTAAGGCAGAAGTTTGGTCAATAACTTTGCACTGTCTCTTACATGAATTTCGCGTGACACCCCGATAGGTTTCCCTAGTTGGCCCCGGGTACCAGACCTCCGCTGCGTGCATCGCGATTGGCAGGACTACCGTGCGGATCACTGTGGTTAGTAGGTCGGGCCTTGGTCCCTGGGTGCACTGAGTGAGCCGTCGGAAGTGTTGCACTAGCCGCATTGCTTTACTGGTCCACTTTGCGACGTGGCTTTCGAAGGTCAGACCGCGTTCAAGGTGTACTCCGAGCCATCGGATATCGTCGGATGCTTGTACATCGCGAGTGCCTACCCTTATAGCCGGAAGATCGTGAGCCCTGGATCTGGGGCCGACGAAGTAGACTACTTCGGCCTTATCTGGGTCGAAAGAGACGGCATTATCAGCAGCCCACCCTAGGACTGCATCGACTTCTCTCTGGACAGCTGCTGCGGCTTCGTTCGGAGTTGAACCTATGCCGAGGATAGCAACATCATCTGCATAGCCGAATCTCCAACTACTGCCCCCCACGACTTCGGCCATGTAAAGGAGGAAGAGAATCGGGGATAAAGGCGATCCTTGTGACAGCCCGCACTCTAGGTGAATTGGGTCTGTTACTCCATCCTCGTGTCTGACGTGGGCAGATCGTCATTGGAGAAAGGATTTTATCCAGTAGATGGCTGAGGTTTCAAGAACTGGGTAGGTTAGGCAGCTAAAAGTGTCGTTGAATATGTATTTCTGCAAGCGATTATGAGAAGAAGACGATTGGACCATACTTCATGGCGAGCGGGGTAAGGAGGAGAGACTGTCTAACCTATTGCGTGCAAGCCCAGCTGCGCCTACAGGGCTAATCCCTTAAACAACCCAGTTTGAAGTTTTACATTTTCCAACCCAGAGGCACTATAGGTTCATAGCCGCCTGCATGGGCCCATAGGGCGCCAAATCAGGTTAAATCAAATCAAATTCAAAAACCCTATATTCTCATATTCGGATACTAAAATTCGTTTACTACTTGTTTCATTCTTGGCACCTCGTATGATCTTTATTACCACACAATTTCGCATGCTCCGCAACTCGACTTGTTGATTAGTTTTTATCGACCATTCTTCGTCTTTCCTATCCTGGATAACCTATCAACTCGCTATACTAATTATCTCCATGTGCTCTTCGCCAGAGTCTATAATCTTAAGTTATCATCACATCACCTTGGTTAGACGGCGATCCCCGGTATCATTAGCACATGCCATAATATAAATAGTCAGTTGATTCTGGCAAGGGGTTGAGGCTCCAACCAAAAAGACGGGATACTGAATATATTTTTTACGCCAACGCCTCACAGCAAAAATGGATGGATCCAACGTGGTATCAACAAAGGCTCTCTCAGACTGGAAATAAGTGTTCTTTTATATGGAGAACTTCTTGTTATCTGGAAGTCTTACATATTTATGAGGGGTTCGAAAATTTAAGGCGACTGCGCCTATACCATTTCATTCCGGGGCTACACGACTGAATATTTGGCTAGCTTCCATTCGGGATCTAGTAGTAATTCCAAAATTCAGTTGTGGCGCATACGTGCAAACTGTGGAATAAATTTTACGTTTCTACCTCAAACATGTATTTCTACGAGCTAATTTACTTTTAGACGCTAGAATAATGAATTTAGACCACTTCCACAACTACGCGATTATAGGGCAGCGATGTACTTTCTTATCGCCCGCGTCCTACCTAAATAATCTGACGTTGCCGACTATATCGATCAAGAAGTACCGGACCATGGACAGCCTCCGAGAGTTTATTGAGATCGTGTATCTCCTTCAAAGGAAGTAATTAGAATGGCGGAAATACTGGTCATGACGTAGAGAGATGGGCGCTTTTAGTAAGTTACTGGAGCATGTAATGTGGGCGATAGATTTGGCTTTGCCGTAAATTTTTCCCCACAATTTTCCAGTCGTCCATCATGCATCCGGAAGTAGGATGTGGATGGAACGCTTCACAATATATACAAGATGGAACATTACGAGATAATTGAAGAGCCCCATCAGGTTAAAGCTGACTCTGCTTTCATTAAAAAATGGATAAAGACTAGCGACTATCCTGATTCATTTTTATCAAAAATTTTGATTGAGATGCGGCCCAGATGATGTTTGCTGGATAGGAGGTTGCCTAGTCAAACTTTTATTTATGTAATTATCAGAAATACGAATAGTGTCCATCAACTTTCGATTAGAATTTAAATCTTGCTAGATTTAGAACCATTTCTCTTCCTGTAACCCAAGCAGTTCTCCATAGCGTTGGAAAGTCTAGAGTGCTTGAGAATCCATCGGCTAATCCAAAAAATAGCATGGGTGGTATCCATCCGCGAGCATACTCGAGAGCAAAGCACTTGTTTTCCATCTTGTATTGTTTAACTGTCCCTCGTTTGAGGTGGTGGACACTCCCTGGTGGATAAACCTCTGGCTCGAAACTGCCTGGTGTAAAGGCTAGTTGAGTGCCTGTGAGGATATGAAAGTAATCATCTGCTGTGTGACGACCTGTGTGTCCTTCTGTGCCAGTGGCAGTGCCTTAAGAGATGTCAGCTTTTGTGAAGGCTTGGACACAATTATTTTTACCAAAAATGATTAAGTACTCAGTTATACCTAAATGGTTAAGTGGTTAGTATGGAGGCATCAAACAAATTTAGATTTAGGTACTTACTTGCGTGAATAATGTACATAGCTCCCATCGCACCACCTGCATTATTAAGTATCCACTCTTCTTTCAGATTTATGTAGCCTCCTGGTAGCTTTTCACTAAGTTCACGAGTTATAAAATCGACCATTGCTCGAGTATCATTTCCGTGATTTTTAACAGCGCGGCTAGATAGATCTTGGAGATGCTCCGGAGTGAAAATGTAGAAAGAATTTAATTGTGAGTTCAAGAAAGAGAAAGTCAAAGTAAAAGCTACTAAAAGGACTGCTATTACATTGAGATTTTGAGCAACAAATTTGCAGGAACAAAATGAGAATGTTTTTGTGGACGCCATGATGAGGTAACCACAGCAAAGTATCCGTGGTTGAGTTTTGGAGAGAATAAAGAGTTACTTATCGTTGGCTTTCATCCATGTAATAAGACTCCTGGACGCTAAGGACTCTTTTTATCCTGTTTTGGGAAAATTGGGACCTGAATCAAGTCTTGGAAACAGCCCCAACCACGCTCACCGCCAACGTAACAAACTAACCCAAAGTACACGCAAGATGTCGATGTTTCGGGCAAAGAAGCTTGATATCGGTTGTTTTGTCAATGTCAAGGTTCTTCGTGATCATACCAAAAGGAAGGTTTTCGCTGAGAATGAGCCTGAGAGGTAAGAATAATTAAAGATGGCATAGAATGAAGCTGATGCTGGTTAAATCAATGTCAGACAAGCTCTTCGCTACATTATCCGCAATCTTGAACTCCCGGAGCGTACACGTGCGAAAGCCCAGCTCGAATTAGCCCAGATGCACAGTTACACTCGCTCAACACAAATCAGAAATAGATGTATACTGGGTGGGAAAGGGCGAGGAGTTATGACAGATTTTAAAATGAGTCGGGTATGTGTGGCAAAAAATATGAGCAATATACTTGACCCGAAATTATCACAGAAAATATTTAACTAATTTGGTTTCTTGCAGTATAACTTCCGAATGAATGCGCTTGAGGGTAATCTACCGGGGGTTAAAAGAGGTATCTGGTAGGACAAGTTACCCAAGGTATGAGTTATTATCGGAGGCGGAAAAATCCATCGATCACAGCATTAAGTGATCGTTGAATTAGAGAATGTCACAAATGAGGGGTAGGAGGTATAGAAATAAAGTGAATCCTTGTGGGCTGCTTTCTACAACTAGATGCAAATTCTTTTGATGCTGTATACTAAATATTCACTGACCAATCGGTAATTCAATACTCCGCCTATAACAGAAGGAATCTCGCAGCGGCTTATTCCATTTACAGAGTACCTCGGAGAAGAGAAATTATTGCCAACATCAGCTGAAATTTGACTCATTCTATTTTTGGAAAACTGTACAATCTCTGTGCATTCACACATCAAGATCCATAATCCATTCCCAAAATACAAAGTAGCACCGACATCTCTCAATCTCTCAAAAATTTCGACCACAATACTGGCAACGATTGTGTAGAACTAGAATATCATGTTTCGTCGACTCCAATCTGGGTTACCTAAAGATCCCGTTTTCCCTTCAGATCTAAAGAGGCTTGGGTTAGTCTATCATTTACTTTCGCTGTCGTTTCTTGCAAGAGATTAATTACAATTAGGTACTTTATTAATGAAAAAGACGAGATACGAAACATTCAAAATCCGAAAGCATACTTCCACTTTTTCCTGACCAAAAATGAAAGAGTAAATGAATTGCAACGCGAGGCTTTGAACAGTTAGTCATGTTCATCCATAAAATTTGTACTGCTTACACTACATAAAGGTGCAACTCGCTCGATTGTTGAAGAGCGCCTCAAAAATCTTGGGCTGCGCCTGATTCGACTTCCTTTAGAACAAGAGGCAACAGATAGGCACGTTCCAATCTTTGTTTCATCAGAATTGAAGAGCAAAAAAAGAATAATAATCTTATTCTATGAGCAACAGCAGGATCTCGGGATCCTCTCATACAGAATTATTTGCGGAAAGGGCGGAATAAATCATGGTTCTGTTGTCAATATGGTTAAGTTCATACAGTCAACGCATTGCTCTCCTGATAGTCAAGACTCTCCCGGCATAATACTAGCTAATATGGGACAACTTCGGTGGTGGCGTCGCGGTAAAAAAGCACTCACTCAAAATTCATGGTATACAATTCCGTCAAAAAGCTTAGTTGATCCGTGCTATCAATTTGATCCAAAGCTAAATACCGTTCCAGGACATGAAGATCCTGCTCAACATGTCGATTACATGTTTAATCATGTGATAGAAGAATTAACCGATCCAGAAGCTGTCATTGACGTCATAGGAGTTGCAAGTGGGGCGTATCAAGTTAGCTGTTTCCTAGAAGACGAGAAGAATTGGGATAAATGGAATTCCCGAATCGCTGCTTTTGCCTCAGTTGCAACCTACTTCACAGCTGACCAGATTAATAATCAGAAATTTAAGGATTGGCTCGTACAAGTAAAGAACCAACATAATCAGCGTTTTGAGATTGCTAACTAGACCTTTAGCGAGGGCGGGCTTATATCCTTTCGGAAGAACCCTGTGATTCCTTCCTCGCGGATGCAGGTGGTTCGAAGCACACGCAACCACTTGGCTGTCCTACCTTCAGCCTAGGAGAATCATACTATCCCGAGGCCATGCTTCCAAATAGTTATGAGACTATAATAAATTGGTTTAATGAAGTAGCTCAAAGTCCAACTTATGCAAACCCTACTATGGTCTATACTGAAGCAGAAGCAATCACTAATCTAAATGAACCTACAAATTGATGAAGTAATTTTAGTCACTACGGTTCGTGAGCTATTTGAATTGTCATGCTGTCAGACATTTATTGAAAAGAAAAGTTAAATAAAAATGGCTCACATAATCCAAAAGTTCTGCGGATCAAAGAAAAAGCTCTTGAATTGAATTCAAAACACGTTGAATGGAAATCAGATATTCCAAATTATCAACTTCTATTCAAAGAGATATGATTATCACATTATGTTGCAAAAAGAACATTAAAATTCCATTCCTTAATGGAAAATACTCCGTGCTGTTATGGTACAGTATTATTTTTCCCAAAAATCCAGCTGGCCCCTTAACGACAAAGATTTTTATTGTTTTAAGAACGCATAGACGAAGAGTAGGCCATGGAGGAATCATTCAACAAGTGTAACCAAACCTAAGAAGAATAGGAATTGAGATTGCCATAAGACTCTAGAGCAGTCATGTTAGACTGAGTTCCTACAATTTTGAATAAAAGTATCTGAAATCAGTAACCCGAGATTTTAATATGAATTAGTGTCCTAGAATGTAAAAAATGTCATATAATTTGAACCATAATCGGCATTAAGTAGGACACTTAACAGAAAGCAAAAAAATACTATTTTGAGACTATAATTGTGTTGAAACCAATCAATTTGTGATGCAACTGTATAATATCAGACCATATTGAGAGAGAAGTGACATGAATATGGTGTTGGCGTTGGCGTTGTGATTTGCCTGGTTCTATTAATCAGATATCAGCAATGTATAACTAGATCTTACTGGAAAAATATAGATTATTCAGTACCATGTGATTAAAGATTGTTCCATCATCAATGTAAATCCAATACATGTATATAAATAAGGTGAAGATAATTTTTAGGAAGTAAGTCTTTTCAATTGGAGATTAATCAAATCATTTCTATCAATCTCAGGTGCAGTAAAATATTCTCTTCATCTTTCAATCAGACTATCAACACCTGATATATGGATAATGGTTGTTTACACATCTTTCAGGCCCACTCAGTCCTTAAACTATTTGTGGGCATGACATATTACATCGTAATTGCCCACCGTTTTCCTTCAAAACTATCTAGCTTGGCTGCCTCACCTGGCGGCTGTACTTTTTAGTCTCGTATCCTTTCTCTGCCTCATATTTGTGTGGCGTAGTGGCAATTCATCCTTTGGAACAAGATAATATAGAGCTGCTTCTATTGCGCCCCAAACACGGCTTAGATCTCCACCGAACTTAACTCATTATCAAACCGTAAGAGGAATAAAAAGTCTTGCAAACGTAGTTATTAATAGACTGCTAATAAAGTTTAGAGGCTGACTAGAAAATTTCTTTATGGAAAAAACGAAACTATACCTGAAAAAAGATGAAATATTGGAATAGGGGGAAAAATTATTACTACCTCGGAATAAATGATTACAGCGCAGAATTTGAAAGAGATTCTATCTGAACTGCACATAAAGACTGAAAATTAGAGGGTGAATATTCTTAACACCTGTCAGTGATGTCCCCTACGAGCCTCCAGCTCTCACTGTAGATTCTGCAGAGCCGAGATTGAGTAACAAAGTCCTCACTTCGACAAGGATTCCTAATCGGTTTCGCGGTCTGTATCGTCTTCATCTCTCAACACATCCCCCTATCACCATTATTATGGAGCTAACCACGATCAGATTTCCTACTTCTCGCTGTATACATAGGGAATTGTAATTGTCAGCGCCGATCATAACAATCTATGTTGCTAAGCAACCATATCCAGACCGCAACATTGGTAGCCCCCATAGCTGGCTAGGCCCTATATTCCATCCCTACCGTACTGGCGCAGACAGTACAAACACAAGGGATTAATCCCGTAACCACGTGAACACATATGGGAAACTGTATCATTGGTAGGGATAACAATGATGTATAAAATAGCTGTAATTATCCTCTTTAGTCTGTAGTTCACCACAGAATGAAAATAAACTAACTCTGACCATAAGGTTGCTCAAGTGCCTATGCTTAGACTGTGACGCCTAATCATCACAAACCCTTGATCATGGAGGAGAAGCCATCCGATGAGTTTCCGGAGCGTACCCAGCACTCGATAAGGGGGTGTTGGATTGAATCTAGTCGGTCTCGACTGTTACAAAGAAGGGAGATATAGATGAATATGCGCACCTCATGTGGTCCCGTTGTCTAGGTCTCGCCTGTCTGTGGCTGTAGGTTTTTTGAAACTTTTTCCCGCGCACGCAGTTTCCATTGCTGCCATTTTGTTTGGGTAGAAGGTTCCGTGGAAAAGGTGGCCAAATTCCACGGATAAACACTGAGCTGAATGGCTATTTATCACGGGCAATATATCAATGATCTTTCAAGAAACATGAGAGGCAAGGAGCAATGTACAGGGTCTGGCCTAGGTCAAGGAGGAGTCCAATGTGCTAGATAGTCTAAAACTCTAGTAGTACAATAAACACAAACATACAAATCCAGATTTCATCAAGACTATCCTCATTAAGGCATGTGTAGGTAGGTGATGTGACGAGTATGGAGGTGGGTCACAGGTGTTGGATCGACAGAGAAATGCTTCGTTGCAAATATATGAAGAGTTTGAGAGATGTCATTTGTTTGAATACGACCCCCAGAAAGACCTAAGCCCATTCGTTAATCGTATGTTAGTGGTGATGAGGTTTTGTTCGTGTTTCTTGTGGGTATGAAATCTCTGTCGACCGATTTTTCGAACAAAATACCGAGTACAACTCCTTCAAGCAGAAAATCCATCAAAAAATTATCTCACCCTTATTCGTGACTGAATCTCGGCTCTGGGAGAATTTTTCACTCCCAGGAACGTAGGGGACTCCGCGAAAAGGTGTTCAGTGGTGCTCTCCCATCAATCTCTTTAAAAAACGAGTGAAATATATTCGATTTCAGCATCCTGCTTTGGCACCCTATGGACCCATTTCGGTGTCTATGAAATTTAATCTTCCCATGAGAAGAAAGCTCTCGATAAAAATTTCCATGTTTGTCCTTCAGGAAGCGCTATTACACTGAGGTACTATCAATATAGGTCAATCAGATCTAATTTAGTAATCCCAGGAGTTGTTCGCTCTATCTCTCTCCCACAGTTTTATTTCGACTACATTTGTCATTTTGAATTACTCTATCAAAATATGATCTTAGATCCAATATATAATTCTTTTGATACTGCAAGGAATATTTATCGATGCTTCAGAGGGTAGATCCTGGACTTGTCACTAAATCTTTCCTCTGCAATTTGACTATTGAGGGCGGGATTTAATCATTTAACTGGAGTTCTGTGGTCGATAGCCACATGGACAGCTTGGACTATTGAATCTTGACACTCTTCTTCTACACAAATACGACTTGAGACCCATATGCTCCATTCGAGTGTACATTGCTAGTCTAATTTGGGGCCATTGTCAGATTACGGTGGAGCAAAAATGGCAATTCCCAGAGACTTAATTTCTATCGTTCCGACTTTCGGTTCTGATAGAGCTAAACTACTCCCCAGCTTTCGGGGTCGGCGATGGCTAGCTGTCGAGGCTGTCGGATCCGTCCTTGAGTTGGCTAGGATTTAGCTCATTCTTGGTATGCTGCGACTTTTGCTAGCTTTTTCTGTCATCTTTTGGACTAGTCTTCCCCTCAAATTTCCACTCAGTTTGACAGATATAATCTTCTGTTGTTGGCGGGAATGTCTTCTCTCCCTCGTTTGGGCAGCTTAATATTACTACAGGTAGATTTTATGAGCTTTTGGACTGGTAGCTTTTTCGAGAGGCCAGCGTATTGGAGCCTTTGCTGCTTTAGGTAGATTCTATTGGTAGGGTGGCAGTTTCGTAATCGAGCACTCGTGCTGGTTGATTTATAGGCTCCTATGACTATTTTTAAGCAGTTTCTTTGGATGCTCCGAAGGGGTTTCACTATTCTTTCAGGTATTCTAACACCTAGCACGGCCTTGACCCAAATTGGGACCTATCCTAGATATTACACTGCCTTGTAGATGCAGATTTTGCCAATTGCTCAGTTTCTCAATTAACATCAATAAATACACACCATGCTCCCGATAATTTTACAACTACGTCACCTCAAAATCTACTATCCTTTCCAGGCCTCAGCGTCGTCTTTCTCAATGCTCCGTCATGTAATTGGGATTTTGTCATCACTGGCCATGTTAGCTCTCCCTACAAGAACATTCTGCGTGGAAAACCCCAGCCCCGATCGAGTGAGCCAATAGAGGCTGCCAGTGGCAGCAAAACGACACTCCCTGCCGTGCTGGCTTCTGGGCCGGGAGGAAAGAATACCGTAAGCATTTCACGACCAGTGCAAATCCTCGCGAGACAAAGCAGCAGCCAGATAAAAGGCAAAGAGCCGGCTGTAACAATGCCTACTAGACCAATTGAGGGCGATGGACCACAAAGCTCCAAAACTACTGAGAGATCCTGGACCCAGGTGGTCAGGAAAAAGCCAAAGCCTGTACAACCAGTCGCGGCAACACCGCTTCTAGCCAGCGTACCTACGCAAACTCCGAGGCCTAATGCCTCAGCTTCAAAATCAGCCCGCCCAGATGAGCGTGTGTTCCTGCGGGTCAAGCCCGACCATCCGTGGAGACTTATGTCTCCATACTTCATAAAAATAAGCCTTGCGAGCAAGCTGCGCCTGGCTAACTCTGCAATCAAGCAAGTCACTGTCGTAAACTCGGGGTTTGCGATACAAATAGAGGGGGATGGAGCAAGAAGCGCGCTCCTCTCGGGTGCCGCTCTCTTAGATATCGCGGAAATGAAATTGGAAGCTGCCTCCAATTGGATCTCGGTGCTTGCACCAAATATTCCTGATAGGCTTTACACCATTGAAGTTCCAACCCCAGTTACATCAGAAATGGTGATTGAAGAAGCGACCCTTAAAACCGGCGTCAGACCAACCTCAGCTCGTGCTTTTGCGACGAGCACAGCGAGGCCATCAACTGACTGGGTGTTGCACTTTGCAACAGGAAAACCAAAACTGGGTGAAAGACTCTTCGGA